GAATGACCCATTATAATATCAGGAATGATTCCAATGCTTGTTAAAAGATCAACTATTCCGATCTGCAATATATATAATTTTTTATTACAATTTTCTAATGTATTTTTCTGTTGAATAAAATAATATTATAAAATATTACAAATTTTGCATTCTGCATACAATTATGCATATGTATGTAATAGACTATTTTTAATTTTAATTATATATTTTACAAATATAACTTTAGCTTTTTATAAAATACTGGTTTTTAAAACTAAGATGCTTTGTGTAAAAAATTAGACATTACAAAAAAATTCTGCAATATATATAAATTATATATTTTATTTATAAATATATGCTTATACCTGTAATCCAATGAGGCCTACAAATAAATTGACTACATTATCGAAAACATCATTGTTTTTATTTGTTAGAATATCTGTCACCAATATACCGTGAGGTCTCAAAATTGTGTCGCATTTTTGCACTGCTTTAATGAAAGTTGGAAATTTCATTAAAGCTCGACCTATATTTAAAAAAATATATAATTATATTATTTACAAATATCCTGAACCATCCTGGACATATTCAGGATGATCCTGAGGACGTTTTGTGCTGTCTGGGACGTAATAAATGTAACTTAAAGGGTTACAAAATTCGCCAACTGAAGATATCTATTAATTTTGTTTTATGTTTTAACAAACACTTAAGAATAAGAATATCAACATATGTGTAAATTAAAAATTTTATATGTTTATTGCAAACTAACATGTAATATCTTAATAATTATTAAATATTATATTGTAATATGATATTTTTGGGATTTATTTACCCATATTAAAACATTGAGATCCAATTCCAGAAAATATGAAGCAAATTGGTCTTTTCGTAGATACGTTGCGTTTCATTTCAATTATTGCGTTATCAGATATGTTAGATCCAGCAATTATGTATCCTCTGTAGGAATGACCTTTTATATTGTCATTATGAATACGATGTAGCAGAGAGATATATTCTATATCTATTGACCGACTCTGTACCTATAAAAATACCGTTAGTAATCGTAAGTATACGACAATTATCTTATATTTTGATAGATTATTCCTAAAGTTATTTTTGATTAAGATTAAAATTAATAATAGATGACAGATTGGTAAGCGAAAAAGTGTAATTACGAATCTAAATATGCGAATTCTATGCGATATTATTGACAAACTTTGATCGCTTATAACTCAAAAATTATTGTAGCTTCGATATTTCTGTATTGGAATTTTTGTAATTGGAATTTTCTCTATATATTTTATTTCTGAAATATATACTATTAAAAAATTGTACAAAAGTTATGAGATACTCTATATATATACCTATATTATAATTATAATACATACATAGATATCTTATTTTTAATTATAAACCTTTGAAATTTGCATACAACTAATTGTGAGCTTGTCAGGATAGCCCGGGTATAGGATGAAATAATAAAATATTAATTAGACAGACAAATAGGCAAGGAATGCGAATGTTTTTATTGCGAAACGATTTCTTTGCGAGGATGTTGTCGCTTATTGCCCGTGTTATATCTGTGATTGCTGGTATTGCTGGATTCTCACTCCGAGGCTCTTCTTGTTGTTATTGCGACGAGGAATCTTTTTCGATCTCTCCCGGACTCCGAAATCGCGGATATTTATATTCTTCCTGTGCTAAGTGTATCCCTGCTCCTTGAGATCGAACCAATCGCCGGGCGATAAATAACAAAGATTTGATTTGCTAATTCGAACGTTCGAACATGCGCTATGTCTCGAATCGAGCTCTCGCGTCGTCATATAATATCGATAAACAAATAATAACGTCCCGGACAAAACGCTAAGTTGATATATATATATATATATATATAAAATTATATGCCTACACAATACTCTATTTTTTAAACTGATTAATGGCTACATTAAATGTTAATGCGTTTGTTTCAATCGATTGTGATATGTCTTAGACCTGTTAATAATACTGCGCTCTTTCCCCGTTTTTACCAGTTTAGAACAAACATCAATTTATCTTTAATTTTTACATCTAGATTCCATTATTAGAATTAGTTATTTAATGTATATATAATTAATATACTTTAATGAAATGTAATTTAAGTTATAATAACGACTTCTTTAAATTCTTTATATGAATTTAAACACTCTCTTAAATCTTTTCTAGCTATCATTTCGTTATAATACATTTTTTTATTCTTTTCGTTAATTATTTAATATTTACATATTCTTCAATGTACTATATTACTGCTATTTTAAATACTACATATAAGTGCTATATCGTGTAATTATTTTTTACTTTTATTTTTATTGTAATATATTATAAGAATAAATAATTAAACAGGCCAATTGGAACCCGGACGCGGTAATCGGTGTGTAAAGCAATAATTGTATTAGATTTAATTACATTAAAAGAATTACATACGACCCCCTTTGGGTCCTCTTCAGTGAAACATCGATAACATTAAAAGGGAGAAAAAAACCAAACGCAATGGCAAATCAGGCCAACCGTCGCGACGCAAATGAATATTAATGAATAACCCCGGCGCAACAAGGTTATTACATTATATAATGCGCTAAAATTATGTATGCGAAGATGGAAAAACCGCTATGTCTGTCCTAAAGATAAGCGCACTTACCACGCAAGAAAAGGAATCTCTTACAAACAATACGAGGAGATGCCCGTGTAGATGCATGTCGAATTTTAAGATGATGGAAGTCGAAAACGCAACCAAGTAAGTTCCAGGGCATCGAGATCCCGATCGAGCGCAAAGTCCGTCCGCTATACAAGTAAAAGTTCATGTGAGTGAGCACTAGTGGATTACGATAAAGTCTAATAAATTCAGAAAAAATTATAAGAGTGAGTACTTACAATTAGAAAGAATTTGCAATTCAGGAGTAAAATAAAACCTGGTCAAAAAGATAAAATATTGAATAATTAAAAGTTGGAGAGATTGATATGTCGGTAGGACATCCCGGAGACAAGTGAAAAACAAATAGGAGAGGAGCAAGGAATGAGAGGAAAACAAAGGATATATGTATAAACAGTGTGTGGATCGTAAACAGGGAAAGAAAGAGACATGACAAGGAAAATAAATCAATACTGGCATTTATTTAAGATAGGAAAATAAGAGTGGTCAAGGAGATTGGTGTCTTGCTGTAAATTAATACCGTTTTTTTGTTGTTTTATATGTAACATTTCGGAAATGTTTTTGCTGCTCCTGCTTCCTTTTTTTCTACCATGCTTTCTTCCTTCAACTCCCTCCACAATAGACTGCAGTTTACCATCGAATTAAGTAAGAACAATAACATCAATTTTTTAGACCTTTCTATTAATCTAACCGATGGCAGGTTTCTATGTGATTGGTATCGAAAACCGACTTTCTCAGGAAGGTTTCTCAATTATTTGAGACTAGTTGACCATGTTTTCAGATTGTCGCACCCTACATGCCACGAAAAAGATTTGAATTTAATAATCAATATCCTTCTGAACAATGATTACCCCCCCCCCGTGTCACGGAGAAATTATTACCGCTAATTAAGAGGATTGACAAATCTATGGCATATATTCGCCCCAATAAACTTTGCAAATATATAAAAACACATAAGGACCCCCTTCCTTCCGGAAATCATTGTAACGTGGTCTACAAAATCTGCTGTCAGAATTGTGACGCTTCATATGTGGGACAAACAAACAGACAATTGTCTACTCGAATTAAAGAGCATCGCTCAAATATCAACAGAACGGTGTCTTCCCACTCAGTAATTACTGACCATCGGCTCTCCGGGCATGATTTTGATTAGAACAGCATCCGCATATTAGACAAAGAATCTTCCTATATCAAAAGATGTATGTTTCCGAAATGTTACATGTAAAACAACAAAAAAACGGTATTAATTTACAGGAAGACACCAATCTCCTTGACCACTCTTATTTTCCTATCTTAAATAAATGCCAGTATTGATTTATTTTCCTTGTCATGTCTCTTTCTTTCCCTGTTTACGATCCACACACTGTTTATACTTATATCCTTTGTTTTCCTCTCATTCCTTGCTCCTCTCCTATTTGTTTTTCACTTGTCTCCGGGATGTCCTACCGACATATCAATCTCTCCAACTTTTAATTATTCAACATTTTATCTTTTTAACTAGGTTTTATTTTACTCCTGAACTGCAAATTCTTTCCAATTGTACGTACTCACTCTTATAATTTTTTCTGAATTTATTAGACTTTATCGTAATCTACTAGTGCTCACTCACATGAACTTTTACTCGTATAGCGGACGGAGTTTGCGCTCAATCGGAATTTAGATCCCCTGGAACTTACTTGGTTGCGTTTTCGACTTCCATCATCTTAAAATTCGACATGCATCTACACGGGCATCTCCTCGTATTGTTTGTAAGAGATTCCTTTTCTCGCGTGGTAAATGCGTTTACCTTTAGGACAGACATAGCGGTTTTTCCATCTTCGCATACATAATTTTAGCGCATTATATAATGTAATAACCTTGTTGCGCCGGGGTTATTCATTAATATTCATTTGCGTCGCGACGGTTGGCCTGATTTGCCATTGCGTTTGGTTTTTTTCTCCCTTTTAATGTTATCGATGTTTCACTGAAGAGGACCCAAAGGGGGTCGTATGTAATTCTTTTAATGTAATTAAATCTAATACAATTATTGCTTTACACACCGATTACCGCGTCCGGGTTCCAATTGGCCTGTTTAATTATTTATTCTTGTTTTATCTCTAGAGCCTTTTTATACTCATCATTTTCGTTTCTTTGATTTATTGTAATATATTATCATATATGTATTTTATGCATTTAATATATTATCATGTACGAGGTGTGATCAAAAAGTAACGAGAATTTTCAAATTGCGTGTGCTGTATCTTGTCTATCGATTGCTTTTTGTAAATACACTACTACAGCTGCATCACTACGCATGTAACCAGAGCCTTCTTTATCGTAAGGTTTACAGTAGCCTTCATTGGATAGAGCTCCTAAAACAATATCAGTAGTTTATTTGTTTCAATCAATATAGAAGATATAATTTTGTTTCCACTTTCCGAATAATATACCAAGTACTTAAAAAAGTTCGATGAATATATAAGCGAATTAATTATACCGTTCAAGAAACAACTACATTTGCCTAAATATGACTTAACAAACATTGATGAAATATTATTATTTTGATAAATGTATCAATAAATATTTATTTCATTTAACAATGCAACAACTTTGAACATATTAATATTATTTTTCACATACCCAAACGAGAATACTGGCAAGTTAGAAAAGGATTAATGCACAAATTGACGCTAGCAACAATAGCCGCTTCGCAAATGCCAGATCGAATCATCCTGTAAGCTTCTACCATAGCGAAATGACTCGAGCTACATGCACTATCGATGTTATACGATGGTCCAGTAACGCCGAGCCAATAAGAAATTCTGTTTGCTATCACGCCTTTATTGCATCCAAGAATGGGTAATCCAGCAATCTATTTGCAATTGTGATATATATAAATATTTCATAAAAATATTTTATACAACTATTTTATATAAATATTTTCCCCCTATATTTAGCAATATCTTTGTATATATATTAATATATTTATACACTTTTAAGAGCGTGTTGGTTTTATCAATTTCTGATATTAAGTTATTGAATAACCAATGTGAACCACATACGTGAGGTTTTTCATATACTAAATCTATATATGTATCACAAGCAATTATTCCTGTAATAACGCTTGTGTTTGTTCCTCGTAATTCTGCGGGATTTACACCCGCATCAATAATTGCTTCATAAGTATGCTCAAGTAACATTCTGCATCCAGGATCAATCACATGAGCTTCTTCGGCCGATATGTTAAAGAATTCTGCGTCAAATTTTTGTATATTGTTGGTTTTTCCTATTCGAGGAGGTAGTTCAAAGATACCTGTTAAGATTTTAAATAATTTGTATAAAAATAATATTGCCATATTAAGTCATGGATAATAATTATATTAAAATATTCCTAAAGACATATCTTATATATATCATTTTATTTATTTATATATGTGATTATATGTGGATTTTTCCCCAGATAGTTTTGAGAAAAAATTTTATTACAGTTAGTCCAGCGTTGATGAGCGCTCGAACCAAGATCCATTTTATTGAAAAGATTGTCCTGAAATTCTTTTATGTTGTTACAATTAGGAAATCGTCCGGCAATGCCAGAGATAACTATTTCTTCTGCAGCATCAACGTTAATATATGGATTGAACCGTTTGTTATTTTCCATCTTCTACAAATTCTGAAGTAATTCAGAAAGTAATTCTGAAAAGAGATATCAGATCTTTATTTCAGAGTTACATATATATGAATGACATATATAGAATAACAGTGAAAAAATTGCATGAATTAATTGCAATTAACAGCCAGCGCGATAATTTAAGCGCATATTTGATTATAATCAAATTTTATTTTCTTCGTATGATTATTATAATCAAATTATATTAACATAAGAAGTAGCGCTAGACTTAATAATAAAAATCGTTTTTTATTATTAAGACTATTTTGTTATATTAAGAAGGCAGTCCAGTGTAACCGGGCGAGAAAAGGTGATTTTTAGGAATTTTTTTTTGAGAAAACTATAATTGATATTGGATTGATATTTTTGGGATATAAAAAAGCATCTTTAAGGAAGAAGAAGATATGTCGGTTTTTTAATTTTTTTTTTTGTTTTTATCATGTTGGCGTACAACTTTGTGACACAATATCGGTGGCGCATCGGTTGTCGGCGTGCACTGTAGCAACGAGCTGAGTCATCTGAAAGCAAAAATCCAATATTTCCTTTAAAACTTAGTCAATTACGCGGGGATTATACTAACTTGCAAATAAAAATATTAAAAAGTGACGCAGTTACAGCAATCGCAAGAAAAACAAGATTTTTTCAACAAAAAATTAATTTTCTGTTGTCGATAAAAATTTTTTAAATAAACAATAAAATTATAACGGTTAGTATAATCCCTGGAGAAAACTATAAGAAATCGAACCAGGAATCGTATTTTGCAAAAATTATTTAGTTGATTATTTCTTAAGTTACCCTGAACGCGCCAAATGTAAAATGTAATTTCGAAAAAAATGCGTTTAAAGTTTATCTCTTTGCTGTCAGACGAAAAAATAAAGTTTTGGATATTTTCACGATACTTACAGTTGAATAACACTATTCTGGGCCCATATAGAATGCCTTTTCTTTCCTCGAAAAATTATTGTTGATTATTGAAAATATCAATAATCCGACAGCCATGAGTCTGATTTATAATAACATCGTTATCCGCAGTCTTCAATTTTTTGCCGTAAAACTTGTTGATTCAGTTTCCGTTTCCACAGTAAATCGGTTCCTGTGAAACGATTTTTTTCGCGGTCTTGCTGGACGATTATTGTCCTCTTTAGTACCTTTGCAAGTCATATTTTCAACCAAATACATCCGTTCAAGCCGGGATTCAAAAAAAAAACTAAGGACGGTTACTGGCGTCACTGTGCTAGCGAAACAAGTTTTGCACACACATACAAATACACGTAAATACAAAACGTACTTTTATACCCGATAGGACCAAACATTATGGTTGAAGATCTAGGGGTGTAAACAGAATTGTATTGTTCCCACAATGAATGCCGAGGAAACTGCGTAGCCGGTACGACTTTATACCTATGATAATCGCCTACTGTACTCCGCGCGCGTCTCACTAAAGAGGCATTAGTTTTGTCAATTTTATGTATTCGACAATAATACTCTGGAAACATATTCTTCAAGCCTAATACTACTTATACATACAAAAAAAAATTTATTTGTTTGAACAGTTACACTGGGCTCTCCCCTTAATCTAATTTGATTATAATAAAATATGTGCTTAAATTAACGCGCTGGCTCTTAATTGCATTTTTTTACCTATATTATCTCACCTAATTATATATATACAGGATGTTTATTTGAAAACTTTCCATCCTATTTATTTTGTGATCGACCAATTTTTGCGAAAATTGTTTCATACAAAAGTTTAATGACTTTGAGGGGGACATAAAATGGCAACATTGGTTTGACCTTGGATAGTTATTTGAAGATCACATGAAAGTCGCCTTCAATTTCTTAAATGGAAACCCCCATTTTTCATTGCATATTCTTGTAGCTTACTTATCTCAAAAATGCTTTGCTTTCAAGATTTGAGAAAAATGTTTTAAATAAAAATTTTATTTGGAACATTTATTTGAAACATTTTTCTCAAATCTCGAAAGTAAAGCATTTTTCTGAAATCTCGAAAGCAAAGCAGTTATCTCAAATCTCGAAAGTAAAGTATTTTTGAGAAAAATGTTTTAAATAAAAATTGTAGGGTTTTAAATGGCGCATTAAGTAGCAATGTTAATGTGACTTTAAATAGCATTGTTAAGACCACGTAAAAATCACTTTCGAATAATACTAATGCTGACGATACTGTATATTTCAAGCCTCATAACTCGGAAAATACTTAATGGAAAAGAACTTTATTATAGTGTTTTAAAAAACACTCGAAATAAGCTACAAGAATATGCAATGGAAGATGGGGGTTTCTATTTAGGAAATTAACAGTGACCTTTACGTGATCTTCAAATAACTATCCAAGATCAAACCAATGGCGCCATCTTATGTCCCCCTCGAAGTCATAAAACTTTTGCACGAAACATTTTTCGTAAAAATTAATTGATCACAAAATAAACAGGGTGGAAAGTTTTCAAATGAACCTGTATATATAATTATTGAAAGACATAAAGTGTAGCATTTTATCATTAAGAGATAGAAAAGATTTTCAAATTTTGAGTTTCAAGATATAGAAAAGCAGATTTAACAAAAAAATTAGTAGAATAAAAATATAGCACAGATGTTTAGAATATTTAGACCAAAAAGGAAATCGATAAAAATATAAACTTTATTTCATGTATACTCTAATTGTGCGCACAATATTGTGCACATGATTCGGTTACATACATTCATAGAAATAATCTTTGTAATAATTTAGTAAAATTAATCAAAAATAAAAAAAAGAAATATGTGAAAAAAAGCAAGAGGGATTTATACTTACCACGTTCAATTTTCAAATAATTTTTTATGAAATTAACAGCAGCGACGACTCTATTAAAAAGAGAACTTTATACTGGCTACGATGACAATCTATATCATAGAGCAAAATGCTATACTATCTGTTAAATTAGATGTTGTAGCCGCTAAGGAAGGATTTATTTCCAGGATCTGTTCGCTCATAGAATTAGGACCCACGCACTAAATGAAGACACTATCACTGTTTAGTAAAAAAGAGATATATTTGTCGTAGCTTTGTTATATATTATATATTTGCTATTAACTCTCGAGCGTGATATATGTTAAATGACGGAATTTTATAAGCGAACCTTGATCGGTCTCGCTGTCTGTTAATATATTCTTTGATTAGAAGGAAAGGTATAGTGACCCTGGCTTGGAGTTACACGTGCTCCACTTCTTTCCCCCGTTCGTATTATTATTCTTGTTAAGAAATATAATTTATGTGCAAGTGATTTACATTAACTACTTTATATTACATTTACTGCTTTGTAACTGCGTAATTAGAAAGACTGCCATAGAAATATAGACAGAACGTGGCAAAGATGAGGTTTGCGAGGCGTAGCGACTCTACGTGGAACGGTTGTTCTCTCACTCTTTCTCCAGCGAAAGCGTGCGGGTCGTAAGCCTACCGATAAATACACAGCCTCTTGATTTGATATTAGTCAAAAGACCAAAAAAATGTTACAAATTTTAAATAATCGCGGGCTAAATAAAAGCCAGAACGCGGATGGTAGTGCGTCAGTTTTATAGAAAAATAAGTTTTCTATGAAACTGATTATGTGCACAGGGCACGAAATTTACTTGGTACTATACCAAGATTTTTAAATATAATTTCTTCGCCCCAATATTTTTCTCGCCTTCATTTCTCTAGGGGGGTAAAGAGGGGTTATTATAAATCTTGAATTGAGATTATATTTAAAAATCTTGGTATAGCACCAATTAAATTTCGTGCCCTGTGTACATAATCAGTTTCATAGAAAACTTATTTTTCTATAAAACTGACGCACTACCATCCGCGTTCTGGCTGTTATTTAGCCAGCGATTATTTGAAATTTGTGATGTCACTTGAGAGCCTTAATTTCTTGAAATTGTCAAAAAAATGTTGTTTATTTATAGAAACAAAGTTTATTGCTATTGTTTGAGTGAAATAATTTTCTTCTAAATATATCTTTTCTTTTTTATTATACACGTACCTTTTTTTTTCTTCTTCTTCTTTCTTTTGCGTAGGAGGAGAAAAATGCCTTATGCGCCGTACCCCGGGCCGTCCCCGAGGCGTGTGCGGGATTTGCACCCGCTAAAAACTCCCCCCGTACGCGGTCTCAGAATGGACCGCTCAGTAGTAGTCAGGGCATCGGGTTACTGTTTGCACATAACTTCCCAGTGCCCCGACCAGCCCTAATTAAGCCTACCTCCGTAATCGAACCTATTTTGCGTCTACGGACGACGCAAATCCCTAATGGGGGAGAGAGGCCTGGAGGGGCTAACCCACCTCATGGTAGTATGTAACCTTGTAAGCCTGTAGAAAGTTGTAATCGAATAAGACTGATTTTTTTTAAACTTTATCAAAATTATTTCCAAAATATATTAAATTTTAACAGTTCTTTTTTAATTTTTACTGTTCCGCTGCTTATTTAACTTCTCGTAATTTGACCGTGAGCTGCTTTTGATTTGTCACGTCTTGCTTACTTAATCTTTATTCTTTCTAAATTAATCTTTTTTAATTCTTCTTTCTCTCTTATTTAATTTTATATGTTTAATTTATTGCATTATCTTACTAACGTATTACTTAAGTGGTCGGGTTCGACATCCTTCTCCTTTTGAAAAAAGGAAACAAACTATATGTGAGTTTTCGTTTACATAAATTTTTCGCGTTAAATTTTTCCGCAATACATTTTTCGCATTTTATAATCGTTTCTTATAATTACTTTACTTTAATATAGCATTGCAATATTAGTTATCGTGGTGTCAGTTTCTATTTCTGTTGTTCCATTTGATCCGCTCGCGGTGCCGTAGATATGCTTTTGAATTATTCTCGGTTTGCACATAGGATTTAAATTGGGATTTATGGGTTGTTTTTTTTTATAGTACCTTTTTTATCGCTGTATATTATCGCTATTACAATTATTATTATTAAGATTCCTATGAAATTTGATATTATCGAATATACTACATATTTATGTGTCGTAAAATTATCGTTGTCTAATTGTTTGTCTATCTCGTTTAGCGTATTGCTCAAGTCCATTACGTCGTTTGGTTTCTGTATAATTTTCCTAATTTCACTACTCGAATGTCCTTTGTGCGTTCGTCGATTTGTCTTATGAGAACGTTAGATTGTAGTCTGATACGTGTGTTTGTATGTATGACGTTATTGTATGTATGACGTTATTTTTGATTTTCTCGTTTTGATCATTATATCGGGTATCGTCAGTCTGCATCTGCTAGCGTTATTGTTCCCGTTCTGTCGATCTCGATTCTTTGTATTTTGTATCTTTTGCACGATACTATTATATGTTGCTTGTTTTTTGTTGAATATAACCATAAATTGAGTGATCGCGATCCATCGCGATCATATTATCATGTTTGAAATTATATGTCGATTTTTATAGTTTGTTTTGTGATCTGATAGTTGTAGGTATGTTCGTACTTCGCATAACGAATTATCATTTACGTGATATACGAGGTGGTTTTGTTTGCAAATGTAATGATTTTCATCCCTAATACATTGGTTTAGATTTTCTTGTGTAATTGTGAAGTATATTCGACTTTCCATATCTATCGCAATTAGTTGTTGATTTACTTCTACAAATGTGAATATATTCTCGTAGTCAAATGTCGGTAACGGTATTATTCTTAGTTAGTATGTCGTATGCAGCGTATATAATTAATGGGGATTTTATGATCGTGTATATATTCAAGTTATCATTATATGCATTTATAAATTTTTCGGTATTTGCCCAGTTTTCTGCGGCAATGCGGGATGGGAAGTGTAGTCCCTGCGATAATTGTGATGTAATAGCTTCTTTTAAATTTGCTATTATATTTTCTATTGACGTTTATAATTTCTTTCTTCGCATTTGCAAGTTCTATTACATTTTCCGTGTCGTGTGTCAGATCCGTTATTATCGCTTCCACCGTAAGGAAATGCTCGTCCATATCTTCCCATCGCCCGTATCCCATTCTTTGATCTCTCATTCTTATCGTGATATTTAAAAATCTTTCTTCGTCTTCTTGAAAGACCTTTTCTAGGTTATCTACATGAGCGATTATGCGTGTTTAAGATTGTTATTTGGTTTTTGCCGCATGTTGCAGTGTTTGTTGCTGGTTATGTAATTTAGATTTATTTGTTCAGCAATTTTCTTTTCGTCGTCGTCATCCTAGTCACTAGTCGCGAACAGTGTTTTTGATGCCTATTCCATCGCGCAATCTTCTTCTTGTATTATTTGGTTTTTGATATGCGGTCTGCAACTGTTTTAGCGATATTACTAGCTGCTTATTCTTTTCTTTTTCATTATTATAAGTGCTGACACGTCTCCCTCATTCTACCTTCGAGTGATTTGCTGTAACACAGATCTTCTGTCGGTTTTATGTATCCTTGCAGTTGCTATCGTTGGTTTATTGCTTGGATGTCCAATTTAATTACCATTTTTCACGTTAATTCCGCTTGATTCATTTGCCCAATCTTCTTGAAATATACTCCCGGTTCGGTTGTGAATTTCTTTATTAGAAATGGTGCATGGGTGTCAAATTCCTCGTTTATGCATTCGCTCCAGGCGATTAGACTTCTGTAATATAAAGAGCTCCGTATTATATTATTTTCTTAGAATCATTTGCGGTGCATTTTTTTTACGTTGAATGCATCTCCATATGTAGTTATTTCTTTCGCTGCTTTCATCTAGTCCTTTCCAGGCTTTTTATTCGTTCTTCTGGTCAGTCTGTCTTCAGACATATCGCCTTGTGATTTCGCTCTCTCGCGTGATTTTCTCGAATTTTGTAGCTAATTTTCGCTACAACTAGCTAATTTTGTAGCTAGTGTTCCTTTGAGCTTTTTGTGGTGTTATGGCTCCAAATTGTCACGAGTTGTATTTTAGTGACGAATAAAAAGTTGTAATTGCCTAGTTGGATAAAGTTTATAAATTTTGAAATGGTAAAAATTATAATAAATGTGATAATTATTTACATTAGCATCTCGTCGATGATCTTGACCTTTACATATGTTGTAAAAGTGAGATTATGTTTCTTCACATTTGTTTGTTATTCCAGCTATGTTCTAAAAGCAAATTTTTAAACCTTTTTCACCATCCTCCACCTTTTACTTTATAAGTTTAATAATTTTTCTCTCACTACTTGCCTTGCCCATGCACTCCACTCGTGCCCCACCGAAAGTCCCAATTTTAGATATATATTTTATTTTTAATAATCGCAATAGCAATATTTCTAAAATTGTTAAAAAAAAATTAATCATGTTTTCTATTTTTGATATATTTTTCGAGTAATAAGCGTCAATTTTTCGGTACGTACCAGGAAACCAATGTTTGGTTGAATCGATATACCAGATGCCTTCCGGACGCTCAATAAGTTTTTCGTTTTTTAAAATGAAAGATTTCATATGCATATATTCTTAGCCAATAGCGGATATAAGTTTATCCGTTTGAATATTTTGATTTATGTCGCATGAATTCTTTATTATTGATTCTTTATTATTGTAGAAGTCATCGCATTCGTAATAATTGATATCATTCTGAAAAAATGCATTACTTATTTCATTAATTTTTTTTTCATGTTTATACATCACGAGATTATCATTTGCAAACAATAGCGCAATATTCATATACTATTGCGCAATCATTGTGTGACAAAATTGTGTTTTTCATAATGTACATGTGTATATTTAAAAAACATATATGCACAGTCATATCAAAGAAAATATTATCTCTTTTCTTTCAAGAACAGAATAGGTTTCATTCGCGTTAATTAAAAGCGTGAAATGATGATAAACATTCGATTGCCCTAATAACTTTGCAGTCGTTCCAGATATCTACACAGTAATACGAAAAATTGTGTAGTTATAACGTGAGAAATAAACGTGAGAAATTAATTTTATGAATTTCCGGAATTTGTTTAAAAGAAAAAATCCATACGACGTTAATAACATTCGGAAACAATTTGACATTTAATTATAAATAAATGTAGTATGAGCAAATTACAATATTTTGTAACAAGTAAAATCTATTTTTAGAATCACATAAATACATTTAAAGAGCTTTACATCATTCGTATTGACTATATATCTATTGACCGTGTTATACATTAATTTAATATAATTATCATTTAATTCAATAAATAGTGAAAATATTTAAATTATATTTTGCAGATGTAAATAAGATTCTCTAAATCAATTAAACGATATCTTGTAATCTTCTTCGGTTATAATATCGTCACGTTCTTTGATCTCGCTCCTTAAGCCCCATTGTCGGAACAAGGCAACTTTAATAACATCGAGATTATGCTTCGGATCATATCTCTCTTTCGGCGTGAAGACCGATAAATTGAGTTTGCATCTGTCGTGATAAACAGTACCATCATCATTATTTCGTCGTACCAGAAAAGTTTTTTCCTTTCTGGCCGCGCGAACGTTATACAAGCGTTAACGTTAAACGTTAGCGCTTCACGATTGCGTTATTAAAAAGAAGTTATTTAAAAAGTCAATATAGTATAATTTACACTATGTCATATAAATCATTTTGTATTTCATTATGTTTATTTACGTGTCTCTTGATAATTCACATTGTCATATAGTTTATTTTGTGTTTCATTATATTTATTTATAATTGTTCGTTAATAAAGATAAGATTTCCTCAATATTTCTGGATTGAATCATTAAGTAATAATTATTTATTTTATATTTAATTTGATTTAATCAAAAATAATTACTTTACTTTATATTTTAAGTTTACAACATATAATGTATTTCTCAACAAAACGTATAAATGTATATATATATATATATTTTTTTTTTTTGTATAATATTATTTAATATTTTAATATCCGTAATTCATCAATTTATGTTACCTTTATATAGATAGGTTTCCCCTTATCCTGGAATCAAAAATGTTGAAGATATAGCAATTGTTTGCAAAATCTTTTTTTTTTAAGTAAAAGATTCTTATATATATATTATCCATAATTATAAATTATCTTATACAAATTTTTATCTACGCAAAAGTAAAATTTTATATCACATACTATATAACTTTAAATAATATTCTAATATAATGTTATATAATAGCATATGTGTAATGGTTGCAATCTCATATTTGTGATAAATGTAATTATTTATAATTATTGTAGTAATATGATTAAAATTTTTATTATTGATTATATTTTATTATTGTAAGAAATTTTTCTGCACACATAAAGAAGCGTTTAATAATGCTCGTACTTCTTTCGCATTATTAGTCGCAAATTGATCGAAAATTCTAGTTAAAAGTCTTATTATAAAATTCTTCAGTCTATGCAGTCGCGAGACTCTGTCGGAAATATTTTATTATCAAATTTCGTACCTATGGCACTACTAATATCACAGATGCGCATAAATGAACAGATCAGTTGCCCTTTCAGTATATACATCTCAAAGTCATAGCAATCAAAGTAATTAATTTTTCTTTAATTTATAGAAAAGTTCTATCTTTGATGCCTGAAAAATAATTTTGAAAAAGATTGATTTTTCTATTGCAAAGAAGGGAAACATAGAAAACATACGTTTTGTGTTTTATTAATATTACATTATGCCTATATTATATTTATATTACAAGAGAATGCAGGTTTTTTCTTTTTTTTTTTTTATGCTGATCGACTCGGTTAAGCTTGGATTATTAGCATTTTGCGGGGATAATCTCGCGGAAATTCTATTGAAGAATTTAATATACGTGAAATAGTTTTTTGCTTCTAGTTTTTGCTCCTTTGGCTCTAGTTAGTATCTTGCCATTGAATGTTGGCATTATTTTTACATTTTTCCTTTGTTCTCATTTTTCAATTCTCTTGCTCAATATTTTTATAAATTCTGTCTGCATCGTTTGTAGCCAACAGCCACATTTTACCTATATTACAAAAGTGGAGATAACACTTAATCAGTTTGATTGTTTTGATTGAGGCCATCAATATATAAGTTCGTTTTATTTATATATATAAATATAATATATTAATTTTTTTCTTATTTATATGGTCAATATATGAACAATAAACCTCTATATATAAACAATATAGAAGATAGAAATCTATTTTTTTAAATTCCAGTATAATAAATACTTTTTTAACTTATAGATAATACCGTCATACAAATCATTTATACCAGAATGGCGAAACTTGTATCCGGCTCTTCTCATTTGTATCATATAGTACAAAGATGAATTCTCCACGCAATTAATTTGCTGTTTAACTTTTGTATACACTATGTGCTTAATAATTACTTACTTAAATAAAATGCTTCTTCACTGAGTTGAAAACATCAAATAACATTTAAAAAAAATAGAATTTCAAAGAGAGGGTTTCAATCATCCTATTTTTTTTAATATTTTTGATAAAACATCAAAAACGTTAAAAATATTGAAAGATATGGTAAAACTTAAGATTAAGGGCGACCTCACCGATTTCAATGACCTTGATATATGTTGTCAAGGACATAATTCTGAATAATTTTTTCTTCTAATTTAATCGTCGCTCGTTGTTTATGCTTGGATTGTGTGTGTGTGTGTGTGTGTGTGTGTGTGTGCGCGCGCGCGCGTTCTTCCTGTCCATGCATGTACTTTGATATATTTCAAACTTTTTTGTTAATAACTTTTTAATGGATCGTGACCGCAACTTATTTCAAGGTCAAGGATTGCCTTAGGCAAGATCGGTGGCTGATCCAGCCAATGAAGGCAACCTCTCGGCCTGACCTTAGCGACGCCACCCAACTCAAACTCATAAGGTCAGTAAATAGATCTTTTTACACCCTATAACTTTTGTCTAAAACAGTTTTTTATAAAACATATTTTTTGAGATATTTTGAGATATTTCCGACCTTTTTCGAACACTGTCTGCTGTAGCGATGTAACGACACGTTTCCGACCCTAGGTCCATTTGCAAAAAATGATCCTTTTAGTGCCCCCGACAATCTCTGAAAGTTTGTCGGTGTATTTCTGAATCACCCTGTATAATAATTTTATTTATTTTTAAATATTTACTTTTGAAACAAATCTAACACTTTAGAAACAGTATTAATTCAAAGCTCAATTTCGCAGAATTAACTTCTAAATTTAATTTTTGGAAAATAATTTTCTCTCCCGGAGTTCTTTAGTTTAGAATTTTCCTCAAAGTAGGCTAGTACGCAAAGATATCGCTTTTCATTTTGTTTTAGATATTTTTTTATTTCTTATTAAATCACATCGTATTAAATAATAACGAAAAATAAAATAAATTTAAATGTGTTTAAATTAGCCAATTTAAGATCCTTATAAACACATCGCGATTTTAAGTACGTGACTTGTTTGCGTGTGTGTTTGTCTAGCGCGGATTTACATTAGTATATATGAACAATATGATCATGGCATGCGCGATTAAATCAACGCCGGGTATTTCCTGAATCCGTTTTGGCTTTTTACCTATCATTAAGATATTTTTGTCGATTTGTGATTTATGCGTATTTGCGAGTGCGCGATATGAGCGGAATACTCATCAGTTTGCTCGCCGAATCTGTTCCCAAACATATCGGAAAACTTTGGTAGTAAAGTTAAAGTTAAAGAGACGACTTATTTACCATCTCTTTTCAATATTTATAGCGTTTTCAAATGTAATAGGTTTAATCGCTCTGAAAGCAATTAATGACGTCATTGCACCGTCTCTACCAATAAAAGGCTTGAATTCATAGTAAAATAAAGTGATTAATTAAATGGGTTGGATTAACCCATTCATTCGAAAACGCTATTTGCATCTCTTTTCAATAGCGACTGCGCACAATCGATTCTTTGCATTGCATTATAGGTTGCAAAAGGCTCGTGACTTAACCTTTCTTTATATACAGCGTTTTCGAATGAACGGGTTAATCCAACCCGGATCAATTAATCACTATATTTTACTATAAATTCAAGCCTTTTATTGACAGAGACAATGCAATGACGTTATTAATCACTCTCAGATGAGCGATTAAACATGCTACATTCGAAAACGCTAAAAATCTTATGCGGGACAGAGTATGTCTTTTTCTATGTGCATCTTTAAGCCCGTATCAGACTACGTATTGAAGATTGAGATTCAAGATTCAAGATTGACATTTGGCCAATCAGGATAAAGAAATTTTAGTCTCTTTTGTTCTGATTAGCTTTATGCCCGTATCAGACTACGCATTGAAGATTGAGATTGAAGATTGAAGATTGAAATTTGACCAATCAGAATAAAGAAATTTTAGTCCTTTTTGTTCTGATTAGTCAAATTCCAATCTTTAATCTTCAATCTTCAATTTTCAATGCGTAGTCTGATACGGGCTTTAGGAATGACGTGTAAACATAGTGTATGTATAGAAGTGGGGCCTCTGGTGGCTCAGGGAGTAGCGCGCCTGACTCACATCCCAGAGATCTCGGGTTCGATTCCCGACTCGACCCTGGCCTGCGCTTTCCTATTTTTCCTTTCCTACCACCTCCCAAATTCCTTCCTTCTCTCCTTCCCCAAGAGGAACTTACATATATAACCCAACCAGTTTTTATGGCCGTATAGCGAGTATTCGCTGGAGGCTGGAGCCAATCCCAAACCCAAGCAAGCAAGCAATGTATAGAAGTCTGCGCTCTTGAAACGAGTTGGCAACACTGGTGAGATTTCTCAAAAACATTTTGTCCTCTGAGAGACGAAAAAGAAAATTACAAACAAAAGCATTAACAATGATGCTGCGATAAAGCTGGATAAAGCTAAAGAAACTTGTGAGTATGAATTGCGAGTAGACTTGCTTATGATATTTATATCAGTACACGCATTTTTCCTTATCAAATTCAGAGATCCGTTATCAAAGAAGAATTATTATCAGGAAGAAAGATAGCAAAACAAGCATTGAAATTTAAGCTCAGTACGTATACTGCGTCTTCTCTCACTGATTTGTAAGTAAAAATTTCTTTTCTCTGAATGCTTCTCATCTGTTCTTAATATCCTACAATTTTTGTCTGAAACGTTTTTTCATATCTAAAGCCGTTTCCGAGATCCACGGAGCTGGGTCAGACTTTAGAAATACCCTGTATTCACTTGTAAAGAAGGTGGTCTATGAAACTTCTCTCTGGTAAAAAAAAATCTCATAATTTCCTAGAAAATTTTAAAAATTTTTTATAATTCAAATTTATGAAGAATTCTAAAAAAAGATATCAGATTTATTCAAGTTTTTTAATATCTTTTAGAATAATTTTTAGAATAAGAAATCTTAGAATATTTTACATTTATACATATGAGAAGTTCTTACTAAATTCATTTACGATAAAAATATGAAATATCTTCGTATTTTACTCAGAATATTTATATGAGGAATTTCAGAATATAGATTTTTTCATATTTTATTATATTGATTCAAATTTTATATTTGTAAAAATTTTATATTTGTAATTTTATATTTGGAAGATATAAATTCCAGGAATTATTCGGAAATTTTTACAAAGAATGTTTTAAAAGAAGTTTTTATACCCAGTTTCTTTAACAAATTCCTGGCGACTTGCAGTTTTCAATTTTGAATATTTTACTTTTTATTTTGTGACATTTTACAGAATGTATTTAATTTTTATATGCTCTCTCTAGTAAAAATATTTTTTCAATAGATGTATTTTTTTAACATTGCGCATGTATTAATTATTATTAACATGGAAAACTAAATAACTGAAAAAACGTATGAGGTTTTATTATTGAATTGAATTGTTTACAGAACCGATGACAAAAACTATGTCCTCATCAGTGAGTACTGAATATGCCATTCATCATTGTCTAACAAAACCAGAGTTTAAAACATTCTGCTATACTTGGACTATTGCTAATTTTTGGGAAATTTATGAATGTAACACTGCATTATATTCTAGTAAAGCCGAAAATTATTGTAGTTTTTATCTAACTATTGCACAGAATGATTTGAAATTTTATGCTAAAGATATACCAAAGAAAAAGTTTAAAGCTTCCTATTTTGTTTGTTTGAAGACTAATGAAAAAGATATTATGTTGGCATCAAAATCGACACATGAAATATCTGATAACGAGCTGTTGTGTGAACTATCTATTTCCAGGAATTCAACATTTTTATCTGATGGGACATTAACAATATACTTTAGATTTCATATATTTGTTGATTTGTATAACCATTATATGAATCGTTTAATTTCATTTACGCAATTTGCTCTGCCATCCCAATTTGAGAAAACAAATAGCGTTGTTCCTAATGAAAAATTTAACTCACTTGTTACATTTGTAATAAACGAAGAATGTCTTCAAATGAATAAAGATTTACTATGTTCACGTAGTACAGTCTTTGAAGCTGATTTAAAAGAAAGTGAAGACAATAAAATAGAAATATCTGATACAAGCTACAATATTGTAAAAGAATTATTATCCTTCTTACAAAGTGGTTGTTTATCTCAAAATATAAAGACAGATGCAGAAGCACTATGTGAACTTTTTATAACAGCTGAAAAATATGATATAAAAGATCTTAAATTAGTATGTGAAGAACTTTTAATTATAAATACAACAATAAAGAATGTTATAGAACATTTAAGAATAGCATATTTAAATGGTGGACAAATTTTGGAACAATATGCCATAGAGTTTATCAAATTACATTTTAAAGATATTGAAGATAATGCAGAATTTAAAACTTTAGTGCAAAAATATCCTAAATTATTGATTCAAATAGGAAATGTTCATTTATTGAGAAGTGACGCAATAAGATACCCAGGCCAAGAACGCACTGCCTGTACAGAAGATCTAAATTATATGTCTGACCGCGCATACAACTATAGACGATAAGATATACGGAAATACAAGAGGTACGGACTGGGAATATAATTGACAATCTAAAGTTCATGTAACGTATATTATAGATTATTAGTACCGGCAGTGAATTTTGGAACATTAATTTAATGTCTCATATGCATGGAATTTCTAAAAAATTGGATATGTAATTTCTATTTTATTCGTTCAAAGTTTGCATTTATATTGTACTCAAAATAAGCTTTCTTAATTAATGGTATAATATTTCTATATATATATATACGGTGTTCCGAAATTTGAGGATAATAAGATCGCATAAAAATTTATAAAGAATTAAATAATAAAAGCGCCATTCTTTTTAAGAAATAATTTTTGAGATATTGAGGTTTAAAATTTCCCAATCATAAGCTAAATTTAGATAATCACCTACTAGTAAGTCGCGTGTACACTAATTTAGTTATGCATGTAGATGCATGTACATACAATTTACAAACAGGCGACTAAACATAGCCTACTGTGAGTGTGATCAGCTTTAAATTCTTATATCTCAAAAACTATTTTTTGGATATAATATTAAAATATATATTTTTATAGATCTATATATATAAAAGCTGTTTTCAATTTTGCTTTAGAAACATAGCATAAGTAAATGTAAAAAAATGTTAATTTTGTTATATACATAATAGCACTCTTTATTATTATTTTACATTAAATATATCTTATTTTAGTTTTATAAGTTATCTTGATGTATTTTTTGTAAGTATTAATAACTTTTGTTTAAAAAATTATTAATCATCAAATATAATACAAAATAGAGATTAAATATATTTCTTTTGTTCAGTTTATTTATTGTATGTTGTGATTATTTTAAATATATGTCATTCTTAAATTAGCACATAATTGATCCAGATTTTTATTGTTCCAAATTATGATGAACGAATATCCTCAGGCAAATGCTCCCTTGACTTTTAAAGGAGTACATATGGCACTTTTCTCCAAATTGCAAATTAAATATAAAAATATTTTTTTGCTATAAAATAATAAATTGGAATAAATGTAAATAAAGCAAAGGTTACTGTAACTCCTAGAAGTATTAATCTGAGACATTTTATAATTTTGTAAAGTAAAAAAAATATGTTTATAACGAAAAAATTAACTTTGCTATATTTTTTGGTAATATGTAATGAATTTAGCAGTTACTTTTATCGTTATTTTTTTGAACCTATTTAGTATAATTTTTATGCAAAAAAAAACATTGATCAAGAATGTTGAAATGGAGCATTGCATAAAATTTGATGGAAGCTTCTTTTAGTATCTCGTTTCTTTTTTCTTTATAAGGAGGATTAAAAATGGTTAAAATTAGAAATGTGAAAAAGGCAATTTTAACTTTCAAAGAAAATTAACAATAAGGGAACCTTTCCTTTTTCATTTGTATATTTACACTTCTTAAAATCTTAAAATCGGGACTTTCATATGGATATAGCATATTCCCGAAACCAAATGAGGATTATTGTATCTGACTCTCTTTAAAGCTACAAATGTGGTAGCTGCGTACAAGGAAATGAAATCGATAGTGGTATGAATAATAATACTAATAATAATTTTATTGAGAAAATGGATAAACTACAGAAAATAAATTCATATCATATATAAAAGATAAAGAAAATGGATAATGAATAAAAAGTACAGTACAGCGAGAAAACTATTGCTTAAATAGAAAAAAGTAACCATGTAACTGTATGTGATATAACGTATCAGTTTTTTTAAATAATAATTATAGAATCGTGAATATTTTCTATTACAGGAAATGCATTTTGCTGGACAAATGGGAGAAGCTGCTTTACAAATCGGCGAAATCGTCTATGATCTTCGAGATTATTGAACAGGAAAAGACCATAAGCAATATTGTAATTCAATCGTTACTTTTCCTATTTTAGAACCCAGCAAACACAAAGTAACAGTAACATAACATTAATGTTATAATTTCCCACTCAACAATGTAACTGTTACGTACAAGGCATGTTATATTGCAGTTACATTGTTGAGTGGGAAGTTATAACATTGATGTTATGTTACTGTTACTTTGTATTTGCTGGGAAATATACCACTAGATTATAATCATCAGATGGTGCGACATATCGCCACAATTACTATGGATGATATGACTCGTATGGCGATTTTGTATTTGAAGCCATTGTTTGATCCAAAAAAGTGTAAAGCTACCATAGTGTGTCATCCGTCGAAAGTCGCGAAAATAGGCAAGGTTTTTAAAGGCAAATGTTTTAAGCAAACAATTATTCTGTATATTGTATGTAATTTTTTTACAAAATGAGTCAAAATCTTAAACTGTATAATTGCCTTGAAGAAACATATTTAAGTGAGTGGTAAAAAAAGATTTATCTATCAATTCAAATCTTGGAAAGCATATTTCATATGCATAATTCAGTAAAAGCATAATTGGTACTTTATATTCTTTTTCACAAAACTACTAATTGAATTTGATTGCATCAAGTTTTTAAAAGAATTTTTTAAAAATACATTCAAGAGAGAGTTTCACAATACATAATATTAAAAATGCTAGTTCTTGTGTGATATAATAATACTTTCTTCCATTTTTTTCGTATAGGTAACACCAGGTATTTATAAAGTTCCTTTTTCTTTTTTTTTTTTTACTAATATATGATTAAAAAGATGCAAGAATTATTTATATCAAAGAGACCTTATATGGGAGACTAGATATACATGTTTGTGTCATATATAGCAATACTTTTAAAATAAAAATAAAAATAAAAATTCTTTATATATATGTATAAAGATGCACTTTATATCTTCTAATACGACTAAGATATTAGGAAGAAACTGATACACTTTCTATCTCTAGTGCCGATACGCCATGTTGCTTAATTGGCGAGTATACGCCACCATAAATTTGAAACTCAAATATAGTGATATTTGCTGTATCCAAAGGCTCACCATCCGGAATTTCGCGTCCACGATAGTAGGGCTTGAAATTCTTCAGAGGTAACGTTATCGTGAAAAATTCGTTGTCCGATATTGGCACCTGAAGTGAAAAGTTTTGAAAAATATTTATGACAAAAGGAGCCTTTCAATGCGATTTTATTCTAATAAAAATTCTAAAGCTTAGAAAACATCCAAAAACACTAGCAGGAAATAAAAATATGTAAACCAATGGTAAATAAAATTGATAAAAGATTTTAAGGAAACTTTACTGTGAAGAATTGTTCATAGCTGAGATCCTCATTGGAATTTTGTCCACGGTGTTTAAAATTAATCTTGTAATGATTATTTTGCCCCTGTCCTCGGCAAACGATTTCAATATTCTTAAATCTCGACAGGTTGAAATTTACTGGCTTTCTGATGCCAGCAAAACCAGCCCCATTCGGTTGTGGATTCAGCAACGTGAAGAGGATTGCTCTCTGGAAGAGTTGACTTGTTTGCAATGTTAATACAGCTTTTGATTTTCCCACTGTTCTCACAGTGTCAGAAACTTCTCGCCATTCATCTACACTTTGCACATTCGTGAAATCGAACAGCATCATTTTATCCCTAATTAATGGCATAAAACATAGATTTATTACTCTGCCTAAATATAATTGAAATTTCATTCATAATCATTATAGATAATTTTGTGCAATTAAGAGCAAGATATTTTGTGGAATCTAAAAATATCTTGCTGTACGCAAGTTAAATAATTAACAAAATAGTGTATAACTATAATACAAAATTTAATAGTTCACCTTTTCATTTAACTATTTGAATGCATAAGTTAATTGTTATTGAAATTTATTTTTATTTATGCTAATAAAAGTATAAATAAAAATGGACAAATTCGTGAGAAAAGCTATTTATTTGCTACCATTTATAATACTTTTATTACATTTAATTTTTTGATTATGGGAATCTCATTTTCGAAATCCGTAATCCCAAAGTGTGTATATATAATTTTCGCGCGCACACACATACACATTTTGTGCATAATAATAATGATTATTTCTTACCCTCTTGCAAAATCACACAACATATATGTCGCGACGAAAACGACGATATTTCGTAAATTCATGTGCATTACAGGATATTATTTTCTCAAGGAATAATACACACGTTTATCACGTTTATTTTAAATATGCTTGACATACCATAAAACTTATTTAAGCACAGCCACGTGCTATTCAGTAACAAAGCGTTATATAATGATAAGAAAATTCGAAAACAATTTTTAGCAACAATTTATATGTAACTTTATCATAAATAATAATTTTATCTAATTCGTGAAATCTTTTGAGGTTATCTTTCATTCTTCTTTTTTCTATCACAGAAGATTACAAGCGCACGCGCCATTTGTCACATTACATTTGATTGGCATATCTCGTTTTATACTTTATAATAACCAATATATTTTATATTAGCCAATATATTTTAAATTTATATTGATATAAAATAATAATAAAATATTCATATTTTTAGTTTTTGATCTATGCGTTTATTAATATATACGGTTTTATATAGTTTTTAATCTATATATGATAAAATTACATATATAAACAGGTAAAGCAGTACAAGTTTTACACTTGAGATCTGATAGACCTCAAGTAGATTTTTTATTTTTATACTTTAATGTAATTATAGTGAAACTAATTTCACAACAATAAGATTAATTGCAAGGATTTTTATAATAAAATAATATTATAAAAAGAGAAAAAGATATATATCTTTATATATTTATTTCAGTGAATTATAATTATGTATATGCCTCTCTTATAGCAAGAAAAGCACTCTTTAATAAAAACAAAAACGCATCTTTTTTTTGTTACAACACCATGTAAAAATATTTATTCCCTGGCATTTTCTCATATTTATATTATATATACTAGAAATGAAAAGCATAAAGATTTATGAATAAGTGAATTTCTTTACTACAGTAAACAAATTTTCTGAATTCTTCTATTGCTATATTGAATATATGATTGAAAAAAGGGAGTATATTAATCATAAGTTTAGTTTACAATGTGTCTCTTGAAATATTTTAAATATCATTTAAAAAGGGTATAATAAAAAATCGCACTTGTTATTCGAATAGATCGATAAAACTTTGATCAAATTTATTTGAGGTGATTCTTTGCGCATTTTCTGCATTATCAATACAAATCGTTTACAAGTCACACAACACTGAAAAAAATGTAAATCATTTTATGTTCGTTGCGAGTTTTCTCTTTTTTTCGCCTCTCTCAGCCATATCAATATTATCTTTGTATCGTCGAATCATAACAAGATAAAGCTTTTATATAACTTTGTGTGTGAAAGAGTGCATCAATTAATATTAATTTTGGTTTAAATTTTAATATGAGACCTCTATATAATAGATAGCTCTTAGAAAAAAATTTATTTTTCGATTGAAAAGCATAGAAGCATTATAGATTGAATTGTAGATCTATGCTTAACGAATAAAAAAAAAAGAAAAAAAAAAGGTAAGAAAAAGAAAATGCTAAAACATGCAAATAATATATATATTCAAAATTGCATCGTTTCATGTAATATTCATTTAATTGTGCTGACCATAATTTGCTATGTAATTCAAACTCTTGTATAAATAACAAATGACTTTTAAACTTATGATTGATATTTAAAAAAAACGAGAAACGTATATAATTCTATTTTAATTTGTCACTAAACCACAATGGTAAATATGATTTATATTGCAGATTGATAAAAAAATTTGATCGCATATAATATGTCAAACTATTTCCTTTAAATTTATTTGCGTGTGCGGATAATAAAGAGTAGATTCGTGTGCACAGGGTCTCAGGCAAGTCCCCGACGTCACAGCTCTGTGGACGAATTATACGGTCTCGTCAACAATTCTCAGTCCCTAACAACTGTGAACGGTCAACGTCAACGATCATTGTCGGATAGTGGCCCTAGAGACGAATCTGCGCAGTCGAACGGTAAGAGCGTACACCGTGAATTTAATGCTTTAAGTAATGTAAATATATTCGCACAATGCACATAATACATTTATTATTCATCTTCTCTATTTGAAAAAAACCTGATATCTTGAGATATTATCGATATTAATATATAATTTTATATATATATATATATATATATTTCATTAAGAATATATATTTTTCACATATGTTAACAAAAAAAATTTTTTTTTGATCCCTCTAGTTTTTCTTTCTACCTATAATTAGTTTTACAGATAATTGAAATCACAAAGCCCACATACATAAATGTGCATATCTTACCGAATAAAGGTTTAAAAAGTGATTGAAATATATGACTGTTTATAATTTGTTAATTTTCATTGATTAAATTTCTTAAAGCAAGAACTTTGCATGTTACAACAAATATGTAATCCTCCCATGCAAATATAAATTAGTTAAATATATAAATTTCATCACTCGTGTCCACGTCGTTCAGCAGAATTTTTCAGTCAAACATATGGGAAATATATTGATCAGCTTCTACGCATGTATATTCGAAACAAATTATTTTTCTTTATCTTGACTGCTTCAAAACAAAATGCATAAAATGTATAAAATACCTATATGGAAATAGTATAGAAGTTGCAATAATTATACAAAAACCGTTTCATAGATAGATGGCTGACTCTTGCCGCGTCAAAAACTAGTAGCATTATTGGAATCACTTTTATGACTTACGTCTCTATATTGTATCGATATCACTGTAAATTGACGCAAAAAAAAGGAATTTGAATATATTCCGTCTTCCATTTCGTTTTTTAAGTAGACTTTGCTTATCAAAGGGAGGATACAGGCTACGAGATAATCTGATCAGCTACACTTAGTACAAATCATATATGCATTAATAGTACCGATCAATTAATATATCTATATACAAACAAATAATAAGACCTAACAGGAGCAGGAGTCCTTCCCACCCTGCTGTTCATTAGATACACCTTGAAGACTGGTGCGACCCGGTTGACTGGGATTATGTTGTACACCAGACTCTGCTGCGTTTAGGTCCAATCTATAAAAAAGAAATACAAGATGTATTATAACTCATATTAAAGTTAATTAATTTATAAATTAATTATAGCTGTATTTCGTAGATGTACTATTTTTTATTTTATATGATATATGAGTGATATTGTTTATATATAACTCACCGTCCATCTTGTATACTTTGGAATATTTTCTTTGCAGTTTCCAAGAAAGCTTCCTCTACATTATGCCCTCTGTTTAAAAAATCAGAATACACAATTTTTTAATTCATACAAAAGAAATAATTTAAAGAATTTATATCTTCCCTAAAATATTTATATTTTGCCTAAAAAATAATTTTGTCTAAAAAAATACTTACGTCTTTGCACTAGCTTCAACAAACATTAAACCATGTTCATCGGCAAACTGTTTTGCTTCCTCGTAAGTAACGTCACGTTGTCCTTCAAGGTCACTCTTGTTACCAATTAAGAATATAACCTATAACAGGAATTAATTTATTTTTATGTTACTTGACTGTTTATAAACATAATTTTTCTCAACAATATTTTCTCTCTTGGATATTACGCAGATGTAAAATTACAAGCCAATTAAATAAAGAATCTTTATAATTGCATTATGGCATGTAATATTAGCAATATGCGTACAGTGCTTGGATTTGTCAAATTTCTTGTGTCTGTCAGCCAGCTACTGAGATGATTGTAAGTTGAACGGCGTGTAATATCATACACCATTAAAGCTCCAGCCGCTCCCCGATAATACGATCTAAGAAGAAATATTTCTTTATGTGCACTATAATCTTATTTTTAGTATTTGGAGAATATTTTTTAACTTATCCCAAATGTTACGCGATTATTACCTAGTAACTGCTCTAAATCGTTCTTGCCCAGCAGTGTCCCATATCTGCAGTTTTATCTTCTGCCCTGCTACTTCAATAATCCTAGTCCCAAATTCGACTCCGATAGTATGTGGACAATCTGCCATAACTAAATTTACACAAACATTTACATATAATTTATAATTTATTTTTTAATTTATTCTTTAATTTGTTTTTCTTTGTAAATGCAAAATGTAATATAACAGGGATAATTTATACACACTGTGCTTGTATTTTCAAACTTATATAAGAAAACTCAAGTACTAAAAGAGGTATAGAAAGTTTCATCTAATTTTGTAAAGGAATAATAATTTTCTATTTCTCTTTCTACAATTTATCTTTACAACAAAAAGAACTCTTGTGAGCATAGATACAATAAAGTAAGAATTATCACATTGTTTCCACAAGTGTTATCCATGCCATGCATAATATACATAGCGCAATGTGCTATCGTCATATACATAGCGCAATGTGCTATCATTATATAATTATGTACATGACTCTAACATTTTCTGTAAGAATGAATCATGAGACAAAAATGATGAATTATAAAACATAAAAAATAATACATTATAAAACATAAAATTAATTTAGTACAATTTTTATTTATGAATTTGTACAATCATGTATAATTACATACATATTTATTTTATTACTTACATTTCTTTTCTGTAAACTGATGAAGCAGACACGATTTGCCTACTCCCATATCTCCTATAATGATATACTTAAAGATATAGGAATAATTATATGGACCGGTCGACATTTTGCACCTGCAATTAAAAAATTACGGAAAAATGATATTATATTTATCCTTACATCTTATTAATCGTCTGATAAGCAATAAAAATTAGGTTTGTGGCCTACTAAAGTTTATTAAAAGTTCTTTTAGGCAATATTTTATATTGTTGTTAAAAATTTCTTCCAAGTTTATTATCATGAAATATCTGAGATTATCTTTATCTGTTTATGTATTCTTCGAAGTGTGATTACATTTCAAAGAATATGCCACATTCTTTGTTTCATTCAATATAAAAGATAACAGATGCATGAATCATAAGAGTACTATAAACACAGGTGAGAATCTCTTAATGTCAATGATCGACCTACGATTGTTACTGCCATAATTATATAAAACTAATTAAATAGCTATATATTATTATCAATCTTGTTTTTCATAAAGAAATACAGTATTTCACCTTTTCTTTTTTTTTTTTACATAAATTATTATAGAAATTATGTAGTTTTGATAATTGAAAACAAGCCTGCAATATAGACTTTTATATTTTCAAAAAGAGAAAAAGAGAATTTTATAATATATATTATACAGTAATAGCATAATAATATAACAATAATAATAATATTTGTATATAAGAAGTTTTGAAAAAGAAATAAATGTTTGATTAGCTTCGTGGCATAAAAACAGGCTACATACATCTATGAATAATTTATGAATAGACTCATGAGAATTTTTCTCATTGTAAAATTGACTCATAAACTCGGCGCGGAATCTCGTTTTTCAACGAAATTAGACGCGAGATTAGATTAATACAGGGGAGTCGAAGAAACGAGGAACGTGTGTGTATCAGAGTTATCCCCGAAAGTTGACAAAAAGCGAAAATCTCCCAACGTCAACAATAATCCGCACTGCCCACTCCCATAATTACGTTATGTCTAATTAGCGCAATTTTCACAATCAACGGGGCGTAACGAAAATCGAAGGAAGGGGAATATGCGGAAAAAAAGAGGCCCATCGGGACGGGTTCGTTTTCGCTATGGAAGATCGACGATAACGCGAAATACGGTATGGACGAGGGGATCTCTCTCCTCCGATGTCAACAAAGCGCCGAGGAGATGTTATTTTACTCACACGTTCGTGTATCAGCGTCGCTTGGATGATTGCTTATATTGCTGCAAGGTTGGAAGAGACGGCTCGCAAAGAGTACGGCGTTGTGTAAACACTCCGCGAACTCGAACGTTGCTCCTTCGTAGGCGATTCACTCTGTCATCGAGTATCACGTACGTAAACGACGTTTCGTCCCCCCGATATCACTGGATATCACGCGCAATATGGCAGGCCGCGCGCTGTCTCTGATGACGATGGCGACGATCAAACGTCAAACCACCTGTCACTCGCGTTAACTCCTGCTCCGCCCGACCGCGCTACCTTCGCTCGCTAAGCCGCCAACTTCTCGACGTTGGAATAAATTGGATGGGATTTGTCGCGCAAATACGATGACGGGAAGAAGATCCTTGGGGAGTGCGATGGATACGTTTCTCTTGGTATACTCCCGACGTCATGAATGGTCATGAATACCTGAAGAGAAAATTTTATCAATCTCGGAACGCGTGTCGTGTCTAGATATTCCTGCATTCATGACTGTTGGTCATATTTGAGGAAATAACCAATAAAATAAGAACCAATATAATTATGCAAGAAAAAGGGAGCTACTCCCGATTTCGATAATTTTGAAATATGTTATCAAGGTCATCACCCTGACCCAGATAGCAAAATGCTAGCAGCATGCGCGCAGATTGGCAGCAAATTTAATCAGAATTCCATGCCAAAACCATAACCATCTGTGATCACATTAAGCTCAGGTTTTGTCGACAGAGCCTGCTGACAGGCAATGTGAGCAAATTGGCTGCAGAAATCACGCAGAGCCTGCGCGCAATCTGACGGCAGATTGACAGCAGAAATCGAGCAGTTTCTAGACATTTATATAAAATGGTACATTTAAATGGATTTAAACATTTAAAAGGTCTCGATTCCAAGTAGCAAGATGACAGTAAATTTTGGTCACAAAATAATCAATTAGACGTCCTAAAGTTAGGTCTCATAAGATTCAAAAATGACGTCAATAGTTGATATGTCACCTTCACGAGATGTCATTTTCTGACGTTTGTATTAATAACATAAATTTATAATATTAATAATATATATTAATGTAATATATATAGGAAAATTTGAATAATTTAATTTATGAAATTAAATCAAAATTAAAATATTTTATTTATATGGAAGTTAATTTCTATTTTATATCTTAAATAGATATAATAACAAACGATTTTCACTTATTTGGATAATTTCTTTCCGAATAAGTGAAAATCGGACATTTATCTGTCTGATTTTCTAAAAATCAGTTCAATATCTGAATTCCCGGTATGGGAGTCGTATCAGAAATTAAACTGATAGAAATAATTACGATGTTATTAGCCGCATTTTGCAGGCATTATATACGCTCGTGACAAGAACTTGAATACGGGTATAGAAAGTGAATAGTGCGCCGCATAGCTGTAAGCGAATAAACTATACTATTTCAATAAATTATATGAATGCTAAAAGCTGCAGATTCTGTTTGATTTCTACTACCAATTTACCATCAGATTGCGCGCACGCAGACCCTGCTCGATTTCTGCTACCAATCTGCCGTCAGATTGCGGGCGCGCAGATTCTGCTTGATTTCTGCTATCAATTTGACATCAAATTGCGTTGTGCAGATCCTGCTCGGTTTTTGCTGGCTATCTGCTATAATAATTCTATGCAAATCCTGCTCGGTTTCTGCTACTGATCTGCTGTCAAATTATGTCAGCACGTTTTGTAACATTTCTGCTGACATTCTGCTATTATTATTTGATATAACAGACTTTGTATACAATCTGGAATCTTTCTGCTGACAAAAATTTGTAGCAGACGTTTGGCAAAATCTGTTCGAACAGACTTGGCTATCTGGGGAGTAATGTTGTGAAGGTTTTAGCCGGCGTTCGTTATTTATTAAAAAGTTATTAGTAAGGAAAGTATAAAAAATAGTATGTAATTCTATGACACCATATATACAGGGTATCTCTAAAGTCTGACATTTTTTGAATTATTGAGTTATTTTTTGAGTTATTTTATATCTTATATGTTTTATTTGCTGAAAATAATGTTGAAATATGTTGAAAATAATGGCAATTACATAATATAAATGGCAATTACAAAATATAAATAAATAATATATAAAATGAAATAAATAAAAATATGCAATGTCTTGTAAAATTATTATTTTGTTTTTTGATACTACATCTACATGTGTATATATAGGAATATGTATGTGTATATTATAAAATGAAAGCGAGGACTCCGCCTTCGAGAACTAAATATTTTACGAGATATTTTATTTTTTATATCAAAATATGTCAGATTAAGATATAAAATAACTCAAAAAATACTTCATGAAAAAATACTTTATTATAGTATTTTGAAAACGTCTGGACAAGGACTACAAGAATATGCAATAAAAAATAGGAGGTTCCATCTAAGAAAACATCGATCACATTGACCTGTCCTTGAAAAGGTCGCTTATTAAGGTCAAGTCCATATTTTTATCATGTGGTCCCCTTCAAACCATGCAACTTTTGTCTGAAACATTTTTCCATATCTTCCATATTTTTCGAGATATTTGCCTGCGGCATTTAAAATGGGACACCTTGTATATATTGTATATGTAATATACAGGGTGTCTGATAAAGATTGTGCCAACGCTCGTGAGCGGATAGAGCACAGTAAACTGAACAGGAAATTCCTTTACCATTTTGCGATTTTCGTAATAATTATTGAGAAATTAATTAAAAAAGAT